TAAATCGCCATAGGTTCCACCACGAGCGTTGAGCGGAGATGATGGATGTAGGCCAGGGTGTTCCTCTTTACGACGGACAGCATCTTCTTCGGCCTTTTTGGCCTTCTTTCGTGCTTCAAGAATCTTATCGCGGTCCGGCTTTCCCAGAAACCACTCTTGCGCAACATCAAGTGGGTCCTTGAAACCCATGGACTCTGGTGTCTCGAACCATCTCAGTATGTTGGAGTTTCCAGCTGCACCAATGGTGTTTGTTCCCGTAATGGTGAGATCCGGTTCATCTACAACGTGGAAGAAACATAGTGCTCGTGGCCATAGAGTATCACGTTCTGGACCGACTGAAGCCGGGCTTGAGAGAATGGGGCTTGACATCAGCGTGGTGCGAATCCTGACCCACGAGGTTCTCTGGTCTAAGTCAGGCAAATCGTAGCCTTTCCAGCCTAGCCAGCGCTTGACACTCGATTTCCATTTTTCAATGTTTTGCTCTAGAGATGTTAATTTTGTACGTTTCCGGTGACGGATGCTAATTTCCTCGTTGATGGAATCTAGGGGATCTTCAAAACTCATGATGGTGGCGAGCACGCCATTGGGCGCTACACGGATGCATGTGCCAACAAGCTGTCTCTCCTCGGTTTGAGTCGAGACGCTGGTCAAGCAACGTATTGTGTTCTTTCGGTCAGTAAAGGTTGATAGCAAAAGCGTGCCTGAGCTGGCCCAGTGAACATTGATACTGGTAAGACGATGCACCTCTGGTTGGGGGTCAACCTCGGTTTGAGCATCAGCAATGCACTTGGAGGCCTTGGATACGAATGTGCGATAATTTAAAGCCACCACTTGGCAGTCTTTGACAACATGGAACGAGATCAATGCGACGACAGACGATGTGAAGAGCTCATAGAGGGTGAAGCAATCAGGTGGTGGGGGTGGGTCAGCAGACGGTTGCGGCTGCGTGCTTCCCTGTGCGGGTCGTGGATTATTGCCGCTTTGTAAGCCTCTTTGAGGCGCGTTTGTTGAGGGTGGGTGATTCGAGGTAGCGGCTGGGTGCGGAGCGCCTGGGCGCATGGGCGGACGGACTAGATCGATGGCTTTGATAGCGCCCGTGTGCTCGCCTAGAAAGTGTCAGTGTTACAGTGAGATGTGTACGAGGACGATTGGAGGGAGAAAACGGACGTTGCAAGCGGTAGCCGCCGAGTTCTGGCAGCTGGGGACTGGCTTGGCCTAGCTTGTCCACCGTGGTCGGCTTGAACAGCCAGAGCCAGGGGCGCGCGGCGTCGTGCGCAACCAGGTGGAGAGCATGGCGCAATTCAGCCTCGACAGCACGTGTGTCTTCGGAGGGACTCGAGGATGGAGGTGGTTGTTTGGAGGATTGTGGTGAGGTGGTGGAGGTAGTGGTGGTATTGGCGGTGCGGGTGACGGAGATGGCTTGGTAGGCAATGGCTTCAAAGTCTCCTATCGCTTGCGCATTGGTAGTGCACGTCTTGAGAAATTCCATTAGAGAGACGGCTGCCCTCTACGGAACATTCAGGTGGTATTCGCGACGTATCTTCACTCCGAGGACGGCGCCGTACACCTTTTCCATCAACTGCGCTGCGGGCCGCTCGACGCGTCGCGCGCGACTGCAACGATTACAGCAACGGGGAGGGCGTGGGAGGGGAGATGGCGTCTCTCAAGCCGGCATGGTCTGGTTGGGGCGTCTGGTGTAGCGGATGGAGCATGGCGACCGCTGCTGCTGGCCGGCCCCGACGGTGATGAGATGTGCGGGCGCAGCTGGGGGTCCCGGGCGACGGTGGGGGATGGGCGACAGGTGACGGCCAACGGGCGATGATTAGGCGATGCGCGATAGGCCCGTCTTGGGAGGGGAGGTGAAGGGGTTCAGACACTGGTGTGGACTCGACGCCGTATGCCGCGATGCGACGCCGGACAGGGCAGGCAGAACGTGCGCTGTCTGTGTCTAGATGGACGTACAGTAGTTCTGCTGGGGGGTGGTGGAGTCGGGGAGCAGCTGGGAGCGAAGGCGGCTCGGCAAGCGGCGCGTTGGCCTAGGAGCCAAGCCATGTCCATCCATCTCTATAGCCCGCCGTGTCCGCAGCTGTGGGAGCGCGAAGCCCCCGGTCCTGGCCCGTGGGCTGGACCCGCTCTTTTTTTGCCCGCGCCAACTTCTTCATCGTCTGCGTCTGCTTCCTCTCCGTCTGCTGCTTTTGCGGTGCGACCCTATCTCTTCCTCCCGCTCCGTCGCGCCACGATGAAAATCTCCGCCGGAAACGTGCCCGTCTACACCATCAGCGGCAGCGAGGCCCGTCCCCTGCCCGAATGGCTGATTCGCAAGCGCAAACGCAGTCTGAAAAACGACCCCGAATTCGCCAATCGTGTCGACTTGCTGCAGGACTTTGAGTTTGAAGAGGCCAGCCAGTGTGTGCGTGTCAGCGAGGACGGCGACTGGGTCATGAGCACCGGCACATACAAGCCCCAGATACACGTTCACTACCTTCCCCACCTGTCGCTGTCCTTTGCGCGCCATACCAATACTCTGGTATGCGCCCCATAGCTTCAAATTGATTGTACTTGACCAGATGCTGACCTCGTGCTAGAACCAAACCTTCCACCTACTCTCGTCCGATGCGACCAAGAGCGTCCATCTGCAGCAGGACCGGTGCATCGAGTTCCATACTGGCGGAGGCCTCCACTACGCCAGCCGCATACCTCGCTATGGCCGCGACCTCATATACGACCGCCGATCCGCCGAGTGTCTGGTGCCATCCGTTGGCGTCAATGCCGAAGGAATGGGAGAGTGCTTCCGGCTGAACCTTGAGGTCGGCCGCTTTATGCGCAGTTACGAAGTTGATGTGGGTGGCAGCGACGACCTAGCTGCGGGTGGACTGCAGGGCGGCATCGACGCTGGTGCCGTCAACACGGGCGCTATCGCAGAACAGACGCACGGCCTGTTGGCACTGGGCACCTCACTGGGCACTGTCGAGTACTTTGATTCGCGCACCCGCACTCGAGTCGGTATCTTGTCATCTCCCAAGGATTCATTCGAGGGCCGCTCAGAGACGACGGCCCTTGCCTTTTCCCCGAATGGCCTGGAAATGGCCGTCGGAGATTCCAACGGCATAACACACCTCTACGATCTGCGATCTCCCAAGCCGCTGCTGAGAAAGGACCAAGGATATGGCTTTGCCATAAAGAATATCATATACCTCGATGGCGCACAGACACCCGAGCCAAAGATACTCACTGCCGACCAGCGCGTCATCAAGATTTGGGATGCAAAGGACGGCACTCCGTGGACCTCTGTACAGCCGTCTGTTGACCTGAATCACGTCGAGTGGGTACCCAAGACCGGCATGCTGCTAACAGCAAACGAGGGAAGGCAACAACACTCCTTCTTCATCCCGCAGCTAGGCCCAGCGCCAAGATGGTGTCATTTCCTCGACAATATCGTGGAAGAAATGGCCGAAGACCCCAACGACCCCAACGCTTTCGGCAAGGGCGCTGTGGGAGACGTGTACGACAACTTCAAGTTCTTGACCATGGACCAACTGAAACAATTGTCACTCGACCACCTTGTCGGAACCACCAGTCTCCTTCGTCCGTACATGCACGGTTTCTTCGTCGCCCAGAAGCTGTACGAGGAAGCACGGCTCATCTCGAACCCAGATCTCTGGCAAGAACAGCGCGCCAAGAGCATCGCGGAGAAGATCAACAAGGAGCGCGAAAGCAGAATCCGCGGCAGCAAAAAGGTGGCCGTCAAGGTCAACCGCAAGCTTGCCGAGAAGATGCTCGAGAAGCAGGAAGAGCAAGAACGCAGGCGCGCCAAGCGCGTGCTCAAGAACGGCGGCGACGACGACATGGTGCAAGCCGCGCCCGCCGTCCAAGAAGACGGCGCCCAGCCCGCTGCCGGCGGTGTCCTTAACGATCCGCGTTTCGCAAAGATGTTCGAAGACCCCGAATTCGAAATCGACGAGCAAACCCGCGAGTTCCAGCAACTCAACCCCAGCACCAAGATCCCCAAGGGCCTCACTGCCGCCGAGCAAGAGGAGCTGGAATCCAGAAAGGGTTCTTCGGACGAAGACTCTGATGGCAGCAATGACAATTCCGAGGCAGACCACATCCGAGCACCAAAGAAATCGCAACAAGATACGCGCATCTCATCTAGCTCCTACAAAAAATCAGGTCATCGCTCCCAACGCGGACCCGAAATGCACGTCTCATCTTCCCACAACAACTCCGATAACCGCCACTCGTCTGCTTCGGCCAAAAACAAGACGTTCGGCTCCCGCGTCTCTAAACTCAAGCCCTCGAAACATGCCACCTCGTCATCCCGATCAAACACGACAGTGGTGGGCGAACGCGAGATCACGTTTGCGCCTGAGCGCAAGCAGAAGAAGAAGAAGTATGAGCATGACGGTGAGGAAGGCGGTCAGCGACATGATCGGAGGAGAGACGGTCAAAGAAGAAATGCTAGTGGTAATGTCTTTAGGAATATGTAGATGTTTTTTTTTTCATTGGTTTTATATTTTTCTATATCAGTCTTGTGGAGACAGAAAAAAAAATGTAAATGATACCCTCTTTTTTTTTACATATATATCTTCCTCCGTTCATGATTTTTCTGAGCAAGATTGGCAAAATCTCAAAATAGAGAAGGGTAGCGCGGCGGGGGCAGGACAGGACCCAGACAATAACATCTTTTGCATTCAACGCATACCTGGGGGTGTCATTAGTTACCCCACAAAAGAATGTTATTGGTGAATTTTGTTTTTTTATTGCTTTGGGAAATTGTTTCATGCAGGAAATGAAGAATATACGGAATGATTGTAAACTAGTTATGCGATATGAGAATGAGTGTACGTAAGATAGAGGGTGTGTACGAACGAGGAAAGGATTAAAAGAAACAAAAGTCAACAAATGTGCTTGTACTTGGGGAATGAAGCTGGAACTAGCAGAGAAAGGCATAGAAAATGGTGCAAAGTGAGATCAAGTGTATCATGCCAAAGTCCGGAATCATGAGAAATGAATCAACATTGCCAAGTTCAAAAGTATAATCAATGTATTCCAAAGTCGGAAAAGCCTGCAACCCAGGCCCAAAAGATATCCTAAACCAGTCCAGTCCTGTCGGACCATGTACATGGATGTGTTGAAGAAATGCCCTCACGCACTCTACACTTCTACTACAAATCCCACCCAGACGTCGAAACGCCCTCTTCGCACACTCTCTCTCCACCCCGCTCAAGGACACGTAATCGCCTTCACGGTCCCTTACTTTCCTTTACGTATTCATTTGCTTTGCCTAATGTGTGGCTATTATCCGAGCATCACTTTCTACTCAGCCGACTGCTTGTTCATGAAAGTGTAGGCGGCAAAGGCAAGGGCTCCACCAAGGAGAATAATGGCGTAAAGGCCGACGCCAGTTGAGGCACCGTCGTTAGTAGTAGCAGTGGCACCAAGCGCTGGGTAGCTCTTGGGCTTTGGGTCGCCATCCTATTCAATGTGTCAGCCAAGCCTTGTAGTTAACCGTCGAATAGTTTATTGCGCATGTCTGTTTGGGAAGTGCTCCGAGATATTCCCGCATGAGCGTCTCCCGTCGGGAATCGCGGATGTGTCGCCTGTCCACAAGCGGGGACCGAGACCCCATGTGCTTGGCGGAACCTCTGTTTGCCTGGGGATTCCAAACATCCGGCCATACGTTGCCATTCTCGGGAATTAGAGAAAAAAAAATGTTGAGGGAGTGGAAAGGAGGCAGAGAAGGTGGGAAATTCAAGTCGTACCTTGCGGTCCAGCTTTCCAACGTACAGACCCTCGAGAATCTCGCGAGCCTCATCGGAGTGGCCGACGTCCTCGAATGCCTCCGTAGAGTCCTGGCCTCCGACGTCGAGCAAAACTTCTTCACCACCTCTGCATTTTAAAGTGTCAGCGATTGTTGTGTTTTCTAAAATTCCCGAGTTTAGGAGCAGCAAGCACGACCGAGGTCCGAGGCGGGGTTCTTTTGCAAATAACCACCACTGAAGACACCGGCAACGTTATGTGCAACGCCCAACGGAAGCGACGTACGGGTGCTCATCTACAAAGCTCGAAGCATTGTAGACCTTGTCGTGTACGACAATGTACAGGTCCTTCTTGGTGTTGTGTTCCGAAACATCGGAGTAGGTGAATGATTTGTCCGCCATTGTAGAAATGAAGAAATTGCGAGCGTGTACGGGGATGCGGTGGAGATTGCTGAGACTACTTTGGTAGGTGCGGTACGAGGGTGGGACGTGGTATGCGGATGCAGAAGCGGGGTGGTGAAGGTGAGGTGTTGAAAAGTAGATACGGTGTACAGAAAGTTGCCGATTCTCGTAGCGGCTTTAAGGCTCGGCTCTAGGTAGGAATCTACGACAAAAGGCAAGACAACAAATCCCGAGCCCCCGATTGGCTATCGGATGCCTGGCGCGCCGACTTCCGTTCCTGATAGGCTGGCCAGAAGGGGTAAGAAGACCCTGTTGCGCCTTTGCCGTGGGGACGCCTATCGGACGGTCGTGGGGCGGGGCAGGGCAGGGCAGGGCAGGGCAGGGCAGGGCAGTCGATTCACTTTGAGTAGCCGTTTCCGCCCGTTTGAACACATGGCATGCATACTGCATATACACACATGCAAGAAGCAAAGAAACATGTCATGCAATCAATTTCATTTCCTGCGATACACCATCGTCACGAGCCCAATACCTTGACTCGCATCCACTCGCTCGTCCCGACACCAAGATTTAGTCCGTTGAGCGCCCACCATCTCCTCACGGCCTCGCCCTTGGCTCCCTCGACGCCGTCTTCCAGGGCCTCTTCTATGTCACATGTCTTGTACTCGACTTTCAAGCCACTGCGCTTCCACCACTCGAGTACGTGGGCGTGGCCCATCTTAGTAGGCCCCACAAGAACCTGGTTGTCGAAAAGAATCTTCTCGCCGCGGAGTTTGCGCCAGTAGTCTAGAATGTGAGTATGGCCGTGGGTCGAGGCAACCTTTGCAATCGTGTCCTCGTGGGAGAAGGGGATGCCCGAGTCGACCCAAAAGATGATTGCTGGTAGACAGCCAGACTGTGTTGCGTAGGTGATGGACTTTCCAACCTTGAGCGGTAGGTCCTCGCGATGCGATTTGCTAGGGGCGTCTTCGTCAATTGGGCTAGACGGGACCGAAGGGGCAGTCCGATGGCGGCTGTGTTCCTTCCACCACTTGAGCACATGGATATGGCCCTGAGAGCTTGCCTGCTCGAGTGCCGCTTCAGTGTATTTGAGGCTAAGACCAGAGTGATACCACCAATCGAGGACTTGGACCGAGTTGGCACGGCTCGCGTCATCAATGGCCTCGGCAGAGTACTCCTTTGTCAAGAAGGCAGGCGATGTTCTCCAATAGTCCAAAATCTCCGTCTTGCCAAACACCGAGGCCTTGTGGGGCAAGAATGTGTGGCCAAAGGTTCCCCAGAAAAGATCCTTGTGGCACGTTTCCAGATGGACAAGCACAGGCACCATGGCAAAGCGCATAATGAGTTCAATGCAGAGGCGTGATATACGTGTCGGCTTTTCCGTGTCAAAGACCTTGTTGATGTCCGGGTACGGGTATGTGAGCAGGGCCCACTCGAGTTTCTGCATTTGCGTCTTTGGTCCTTCGTCGCTCGCGGCCTGGCGCCATTCCTTGGGTATTGGCAAGTTTGTGTGGACGTTGAGCGTGGTTGCTAGCTCCCAGTCTTTTGTGAATTCAAGGACGATGGACCAGAGTTCGGGCGGGAGACGGGGCCCTTTGCTCCTCGTAGGCGTCAGTGTTGGTAAATGGGCAATGGGCAGGGCGACGGTGCGGTTGCCTACAGCCATGAGGTCGATCTGAGTCTGGATGGATTCGTTGAAGGCTTTGTGGCCTTCTACCCACGGCTGGTACTTGCGGCCGGAGTGATCAAAGGACCAGAGGAAGGGCGGCAAGACGCGGATCCAATTCCACTTGCGTCGGATCTTGCTGATCTGCTTCCGCGACATGGGGTTCTCCCACATCAGTGTTGACATTGCGGGTATGAGCAATATCTTCTTGGACACGTTCCAGCTGCGCAGGAGCTGCAGATGCAGGCTGGTTGTGAAGCCATGGAGCATGCGCGCCAGGTTCTCTGCATTGAGTGGCGCAAGGACCAGCAGGTCGGCCCAGGCGCAATAGTCGGCAACGCATGTGTCGAGGTAGTCGGCATGCTGCCAGCCGGGGGGCGCCGTGTCGTCGGGCGTGTACGTGTGCCATAGCGGCTCGAGTTGGGGAGGAATGCTTGTGTGGGCGGCGGGTGGGAATTCTTTGCAGGCAATCACCTTGAGCGAGACATTGTCGAGGCGGTGCAGACGGGCGACGATGGAGCAGCCGAAGCGGAAGGCCGAGGGGTCAGTCAGGGCGACGAGGACATTGAGGGTGCGGGCGGGTGATTGCGCTGCCATTGAGGAGGGGAGAGGGAGTGTTTTGGGGTTGGGGTGAGCAGGACAGAGGGCAGTGGCAGAGGGCGTGTGTTAACCCGCCATTGGCCGCAGCCCCACCGGGCCCTCGTGGCTATCTAATCTGATGGTGCATGTGGCAGGGCGGAGCGGGCGGAGGGTGTCGGGAACACGGGGCGTGTGTGTGTGTGTGTGTGTGTGTGTGTGTGTGTATGGACGGGACGCAGGCGCAACAGCAGGTGTAGCATGTGCATGTGTTGGGCATGTACGCGGGGGGCCAGAGGGGCAGGGCGGGCAGGGCGGGCAGGGCGGGCAGAATGGACGTGGGCATGGGCATGGATGGGCAATGGCAACGGCAGCGGCAATGGCCATGGTGGCGGCGGTCACGTGCATGCCGCCGCAGCAGCGGCGAGACACTTGTTCCGGCCCGGGCGGGCGTCGGGGCAGCCAGGCCGGGCTCCGACGCAAGCGGCGGAAGGGTGACGTCAGGCGGCCCCTGGTGGCAAGGCAGCACAGCCGCAGGGGCGGTGGGTGGGCCGTGGCGACGCCAGCATGCAATTGTCGCCAGAAAGCCATGCTTGCGCACCACTTGGCCACACCACGGCTTTTCACGCCTCGCCCGTCCTCTGCCTGCGCTATGCTGCACTAGGCTTAAACCGTCGATCGCAGACATGCACCAGCTATCCCCAAAGCCGGCGACGATCGACGCAGCAGGGCGTGCACCAGCCCGTCCAGGTCTCTGTCCAGCCGGCCATGGCTGCTGTCCAGCGTCGCCTGTAGGACGACACTGACGTCCTCTGCTTCACTGTGCATGCGCCGCCCCAGTTACTCGTAGGAGCCCTGCCTCCTTCTCCGTGCGCCCCCGTCTGCTGTCGTCGCCTCCCGCCCACCGTCGACATCTAATCCTCGTCCTTGCCCGCTACCCTGTTTCCTCCAGAGGTCCAGATTTCCTCGCCGCCCCCGCACCCTCCACCTTCAGCAGCAACACTGCCCAATTTGATGCGCCTGCCGGCCCTACCCTACCCCGGCCACGACGACGACAAAATCAAAAAGGCGTCTTCTGTTAGCTACTACCAATCCCATCGTCACCACTTTCGCCCTCGTCACCTGTTCACCGGTCCCTGCATAACGCCAAGTCGAGCCGCGACCCTCCCACGCCCTCCGTGAATATTCTGCCCACGCCTCATTCCTCGCTAGAAGGCCCATGGACGGTTGAAGCGCCCCAGACTCGACCGTGTGCCGGTGTTCTTTACATTCCTAGCGCCCAACTGGGGCTCGAGGAACCACTTCGCCTTGTCAGCACCCCCCTCCACCCCCCCGTCTACTCTTCACCGGCAATAAGAGACGGCCCACGACTGCTGCAGCGCCTCCATGTCTCAATCATCAGACCAGATTCCTCAGGATGGATCCTCTGCCCCCGACAATGGCCACCACCAATTCTCCACGGTCTCTCCAGTGGCAGAAGAACCCTCATCGCCATCTGCCGCCACCGACGCCATCGACTTCGCTGCCACACAACCTAGCCAAAGGTCGCGCGCCTCCACTACCGAGACAACAGGGCCCCTCAGCCCCTCTACCAGCGACCGTGTCTTCCCTATCCGCAGTGCCATTAGCGTTGACCCCAGTCCCACGCCCAAGAGTCAGAATGCACAAGGTGACTACTTCCACCCCTTCTCCCGGACAAATGACCCTCGCCTTGCCACCGATATCCGTCGAGCCTCTCAGGGCTCCCTCACATCACAATCTTCACATGCGTCGCAACGTGCGTGGGCCATGCGCCATGGGCCGGGTAAGACGGCGCAGAGAGGCCCACAACCTATACCCTCACAACTTTTCAACGACATGTCGTCAAACAAATCCAATGGTAGCATAAACGATGACAGCCGGTCGCCGTCCTTCAAGCCCGAACAAGCGCCTTCAACAAAGAGCGGCATCAGCAGTGTGGACATGGGTGACTTGGTCACACACCGGTTCAGGCACGTCTCCACCGAGGGCGGACACATGATCATAACAGGGCGTGAAGGTGAGACGCTACAACGGTGCGAAGACGAGCCCATCCATCTACCAGGCGCTGTACAGGGCTTTGGTCTCTTGGTAGCATTACGAGATGACCCCGATGGCAATCTGCAGGTGCGTATTGTCAGTGAGAATTCCAAGCGGATACTAGGCCGTACTCCAAAGGAGCTCTTCGCTCTAGAAAGCTTTACAGATATTCTCTCCGAAGAGCAAGCCGACAACCTTCTCGACCACATCGACTTTGTCAAGGATGAAGAGTCCAATGTCACGTCTAACGGACCTGAGGTCTTTACCATGTCCATCAAAATCGCAGGCCACACTCGAACCCGCAAGCTATGGTGCGCGATTCACACCAACGAGGCCAATCCTGGTCTAGTTATTTGTGAATTCGAGCTTGAGGAAGACCCACTCTACCCACTCGTGCCACCCAACAACAACACGCCTGACCTACCCGAAGATACCTTGTCCAGTCAGCCTACTGCTGATGAATTCTTGGAAAGCACAGAGATCAAAAGTAAGCCTTTACGGATCCTGCGCAGTGCACGGAAAAGGAAGGGCGAAGCGGCGGCTATGGAGGTCTTCAACATCATGTCGCAGGTGCAAGAACAGTTGGCTGCTGCGCCCTCATTAGAAAGGTTTCTAAAGGTGCTGGTTGGAGTCGTCAAAGAGTTGACCGGCTTCCATCGCGTCATGATCTATCAATTCGATCAGAGCTTCAATGGCCGTGTCGTCACCGAGCTCGTAGATCCTCGAGCGACAAAGGATCTCTACAAGGGCTTAAACTTCCCTGCCTCGGATATACCCAAACAAGCTCGAGAGCTGTACAAGATCAATAAAGTCCGCATGCTCTACGATCGCGACCTACAAACGGCGCGACTCGTCTGCCGTACAGCCGAAGATTTGGAAGTACCCCTCGATCTTACCCACTCATACCTTCGTGCCATGTCTCCCATTCACCTAAAGTACTTAGCAAACATGGCGGTGCGATCGTCAATGTCGATTTCGATTAATGCTTTTGGTGAATTGTGGGGTCTTATTGCGTGCCATACGTACGGGCCTCGTGGTATGCGCGTCTCTTTTCCCATTCGTAAAATGTGTCGGATGATTGGTGATTCAGCATCAAGAAATATCGAAAGACTGTCGTACGCATCGAGATTACAGGCACGCAAGTTGATCAACACAGTCCCAACACAGCACAATCCTTCGGGCTACATCATCGCCTCCTCGGACGACCTCCTCAAACTTTTCAATGCCGACTTTGGCCTACTATCGATCCGCGACGAGACTAAGATTTTGGGCACTCTGGAAAATTCACAGGAATCTCTTGCCATGTTGGAGTATCTCAGGATGAGGAGGATTCAGGCTGTAATGACTTCCACCGACATTGCCACGGACTTTCCGGACTTGCGGTACCCACCAGGTTTCCATGCCATTGCCGGAATGCTGATAGTTCCATTGTCTGTAGATGGCGAGGACTTTATTGTCTTTTTCCGAAAGGGACAACTCAGACAAGTCAAATGGGCTGGCAATCCTTATGAAAAATTTATCAAAGAAGGCACTGAGGGTTATCTGGAGCCACGAAAGAGCTTCAAGACCTGGTCCGAGACAGTCGTCGGCAAGTGCCTTGAGTGGACAGAGGAAGAGATAGAAACCGCCTCGGTGCTATGTTTGGTCTATGGAAAATTCATTGAAGTATGGAGGCAAAAAGAAGCTGCTCTACAAAGCAGTCAGTTGACCCGGCTACTGCTTGCTAACTCGGCACATGAAGTCCGTACACCACTAAACGCCATCATCAACTACCTGGAGATAGCGCTAGAAGGGGCTCTAGATCAAGAAACACGAGAGAACCTCTCTCGGTCGCATTCGGCATCCAAATCACTCATCTACGTAATCAACGATCTCCTCGATTTGACCAAGACTGAAGAGGGCGGGCCCTTAATCAAGGGTGAGCTGTTTGATCTCAAAGACACCATTAGGGAGGCCACAGATATGTTCCGCAATGACGCCAAAAGAAAGAACATTGAGTATCAAATCATTCAGCATCCAGGCTTGCCTAATCACTGTATCGGAGATCAGCGGCGAATACGGCAGGCCATCTCCAACATCACAGCCAATGCTATTCAGCACACCACTCAAGGATGTGTAAAGGTTGAAGCATACGTTGCAGCCAGAACGGGTCGAGACCATGTCGATATCGAGGTGGCAGTGTCCGACACAGGTGCCGGCATGAGCCAGAAGAAGCTTGATCAACTTTTCAACGACCTCGAACAAGTGCAGTCTGAGCCTGCCTCCATGTTAGAGGATGCCTTGATACCAGATCAGAAAAAGCTCGCGGAACAAGGTGAAAAATCGACGTTGGGTCTTGGGCTAGCCATTGTAGGACGTATCATCAGAAACATGAACGGACAGCTAAGGTTACGCTCAGAGGAAGGCAAAGGCACAAGATTTGTCATACAGTTACCGTTCGAAATTCCAGATTCCGAGGCAGATAGCGTCACCACTGGCGGAGCCTCACCTGCAGGGAGCGTTACGCCTCATGCCGAAGAGTCTCTGCCTAATGTTGTCAGTTCCACTGCTGGAGAGCGGACGCTAATAGCGCCAAGTCTATCTCGCCAGGGTTCTGCAGGCGAAGACGACAAACAGACAAGCAACGTTGTAGTACGGAAGACTAGTGCTGGGAGTTTGGCGAGCAAGAACAGCCTCCGAAGTTTCAAGACTAGCTCGAGTCAAAGAAGCGATGTGGACAGACTTATTGACGCCATACAAGAGCCACACTTGATAGGAAGAGGTGACACGAGTCCAGGCTCGCGGTCTATGAGACCAACTCTGACAAAACGCAGCAGTCTAGATGCGAATGCATCAGCCGCTGCCCGTAGGAGGTCCAAAAGTCTTGAAGACTTTAGTAACCAGACCGTTGTTCCGCCTCATCAAAGGATCATGCAGTCAACGGTACCTGGTAAAGAGGCAATTCCCGGTTCCGATGCTCCTGTCGTGGCCTTAAAAGTCCCCGATGAAGGCGGCAGCTCTCCAATCGGCGTCCGCCCATCTGGAAACATACTCGGCGAGGTTGCTGAAGACAAACCTATACAGCCGGCTGCTGAACCGGAGCCTTTATCAGCTGACAACATGCATGTGCTTGTTGCTGAAGACGACCCGGTGAATAGCAGAATTGTTAAGAAGCGGCTGGAGAAGCTTGGACATCACGTCCACCTTACCGTGAATGGTGAAGAATGCGCATCTGCATACTGTGACAACTCCAAAGACATTGATGTCGTCTTGATGGATATGCAGGTACGTGCTGTTGACTATATATATCTTCTAACATAAACTAACCATCGTAAAGATGCCAATTGTGGACGGACTCACCTCGACAAAGATGATAAGATCATTCGAAAAGTCGCATAGTAACATGTACTCTCCTCGAGCAGCCCTCTGTGGACGCGTTCCTATCATTGCAGTCTCAGCATCCCTGATTGAGCGCGATCGCCAGCATTACATTGACGCTGGGTTTGATGCCTGGATTCTCAAGCCGATTTCATTCGACCGGTTGAACCGGCTCATGCGCGCCATTGTCGACACAGATGTACGGAACGACTGCCTGTATCAGCCCGGCGCGTGGGAAAAGGGCGGTTGGTTCCAACGCGGAAAGCATACCGCTGATGAGGCCGTGACCAAACCGTCTGGCGAACCACCAGTCTCGAATCCTTCAGAAGAAATGGAGGAAGTAGCAGTACTTCGCTCCGAGGATCCAATGGCGGGTGAGGAAAGGGAAACAGGTGATATTCCTGAAGAGCAAGCAAGACTTTTACAAAATCAAGAGGAGGGCAAGACGGAACCTCCCCCTCCACCAGCATCTTCCCCACCTCCTCCTGCTGTTGATGAAGCCGACACCGAGAACCCTGCTACGTGAAAAAGATATACATGACCTATATAATTTTTTTTTCACCCACATTAAGGCTCATCATGTTCCCATCATTTCTGTCCCAGGCGAAACGAAGAAAAAGGGGGGGGGGCAAGGCGGAGTGGAGGGTGGTAACACTGACTTGCTAGACGAGGGAGCATCTTTCATTCTAGGTCCTATTGCTCATCCACTATAGCAAAACACTAACAGAGGTCTACGTTTATTTATTTCTTTCCAATCTTCCTATTCTCTCTCTTCTCTACCCTCTTCTTCTTCTTTTCTTCCTTTTTTCTTTTTTTTTTATCCATTTGCTCCCTTTACTCAAAAGGAGGCAAAAAAAAAAGACGTACACGCAGCTTATTGGTTTTTTTTTTTTAAAAAAAAACTTATTGACGTATTTGGCATTCGGGGATATCATATCGGTTTTCCCCTACACCCTCCAACCCTCTTATTCTCCGTCGCTCTTTCTCTTTCTCTCTCTCTCTCTCTTTTGCATTTTGCTCAAGGGGAATGTTCTTGCGCCTTTGGAGTGTATGTGGATTGTGAATGATTGAGGCGATTCTGGCTCCTCCTCCTCCTCCTCCTCCTGCTGCTCCTACTGCTTTGCTACTGTTGAGCATGAGATGAAGATGAAATTGTATATAAAATGAACATCCCTTTCCTTTTGTGGGTCTGGGGAGAAGCGGAACTAGGAGCGTCTGGCGTCTGTGGCGAAACTCAGAAACATCTTAAGTTTTTTTTCTTTCTCTTTTCTTATTCTTCCATCTTGTATTCTTGTCTCCCTTTTCTTTTTTTTTTCCCTTTTGTGTACATCTATATATAACATACTTCTTTTACTTGGCTGCTGGTGCTCTCATTGGTCGCGGCATTTGCTGCCGCTGTGGGTCTGGGAAGCTTGTTTTTTTTTTTTTCGTTTCGGCCCTTCTTGATCCTATCCTTGTTATTTGAGCGCTGGGTGTTTGGCACGCTGTTGTCACAACGGGGATGATTGGTAGAAAGTATCAAGTAGACGTGGGAATACTTAGAAAGGCTAGGTCCTTGATGGAAACAAGCAAACCAAAAAAAAACAGAATCATCTATATCATATCATTCTTCTCCCCTCCACTTCGATCACTGATCCCATCTCACATTTAGAGTAAAAAATACTACCGAAGCAATCATCAAAAAGGTAGAATATTCAAGCTTGAATTAAAAGATTGATTATCTCATTCCTACAGCTACATAAATAAAAATCATCATAATGTTTTATCCCCGCTTTTAGATAACCTGAGAAACAGAGAGGAAAAGAGATTTTTTTGTTTCGTCATCATCTACATCATGGTCCAATTCTGACATCAAAGAGGGAGAGATAGAGATAGTTCCAATAGGAAAAAAAACTCTTCTTCTCTCTACCTCGTAGCATGATCCAACACTCATCAGAGATAACAATGCATCACCCCTTGGATCATGAGTTCATGCATTTAGGAGCGCTCCCTACGACCGCCGTTACCACCTTTGGACACAATATCGAGGATCAGCTGGCGAGCCTCTTCACATCCGTCCCTGGTGCCGACAATTTCAATGGCCTCATCCTTGGCCTGGTCACGGGGGACCTGGATCTTGGTACCCGTCTTCTTGCGAAGCTCGTTGATGGTAGAGCCACCAGGTCCGACAACGAGCCTGCAATTTGTTAGCATGACAATTCGAATATATAGTAGACAGAACAAATCTCACCTGTAGCTTCGTGGATCGGGCAGGATGAGGTAACCAGTTGAAGAGGGCTTGGAGGCGGCCTCAATGGCCTGCTCGAGCTTCTGGCGAGCCTTGGGCAGGTGCTCAGCAGGACCGCGCAGGATCCAAGGGATGGTGGCCGAGGTGTCAGCACCCTCTTCTACAACGTTGTTGTCGACAATCTCCCATGAGTGCTCGTTAGAGCCGTTGGTTGCATCGTCGGTGATCAAAGGCAGAGCCCCGTTTGCGCCCTTCCTGGACTTTCCAGCTTCGGTTTGAGCAGGCCTAGGAGGAATTTGCTCGCCGCCGTGGTCAACAGTGACCTTGTGTTGGTTGCGAAGCTGGCGGAAGAACTGGCCGTTATCCGAAATGGCGTGGTGGAGGTAGCGAGGAACCTGAATGGTCTCGCCTTCCTGACCCTTGACGAGCTCAAGAATGTGCTCCTTGGCCTTCTCAACAGCAGCAGGTTCACCGGTAATCTTGACTTGGTTGCGGGCAGCGCCAGTGGTGGTCTGCTTGGGAATATCAAGCTGGATATTGAGCTTAGATTCGAGAGAGCGACGAGTTTCGCCTCCTCGGCCAATCAGGAGGCGGTGCTTGTCAGGAGAGATATCAAGAGTCTCGGTAGTCTGGTTCTCAAGCGAGGCTACTTGTGCCTTGATAGCGGCAACAATCTTCTCAACAACGCTCTTGGGGCCTTCTACACGAATGCTGGACTCGTCAGACTCGGCGCGAGGGAAGCGCACCATTCGTGCCAAATCGCGGGAGTTGTCCGGACCACCAGCAGAGGTGACAATGGAGCGGATGTTGGCACCACTGCTGCCGATAAGGTTCCTGTGGTGTTTCCTGTCGACTTCAAGAGTCTCGACAACGGTGTCGTCGAACTCCTGAGCCCGTTGCTGGAGAATCTTCTTGGCTGCCTCGACCTGCTTCTTGGTTCCCTTGAGCTTGATCTCGGCACGGCCAGAAGGATCGGCACCTTCACGAGCACCAGGGACATCGATCTGGCATCCGGTCTCGAGACGGAGGTTCTCCATTTCGCGACCGCCTGATCCGATCAAACGTGGGATGTTGCTCTGTGCCACCGAAACAGTATCACTGTAGGAGTTGTCCATGATGTACTGGAGAAGGCTCAGCACTTCGTCACGGGCTTCGTCGGCACCCTTCCTGGGGCCTCGGACGATGACCTCATCTGGATTCTGGCTGGGGCGGACATTCTTCTGGGATGATCCTTCGCCCGCCTCCTCGTCGTTCTGTGCTCGTCGAGGGAAGTTGATGCGCACACCGTAGCGGTCCTGCAGACGCTCGACCTGCTTGCCACCGGCGCCAATCAGGTCACGGTGATACTGTGGCTTGACCTTGAGGATGTGGGTAGCTTCGTCTTCGAGCTTCTTGGCCATGTCAAGAATGTCCTTCTTGCACTGTTGGGCCTTGGCTGAAGGTCCCTTGAGCTCAACCTTGCCATCGTTGATCTGAACATCAACATCGTACTTTTGACGCAGACGTTGAATATTCTCTCCGCCCTTTCCTACAAGGTGGCTTGCATACTTCTGAGGGTAGTCAAAGGTGGTGATGTGGTTGCGCTCGAGCTCGTCCTTTTCAGCCTGCTCAATGAAAGCAAGGATCTTGGCGTTGAGCTCATCAACAGCGTTTGTGGGTCCACGGATGGCAAAGCTGTTGTTTGACCGGCTATAAGGCTCAGGTCGTCGCTGGCCGAACAAAGCCTGGACAGGAACCTGCTCTGGCGCAAGGCCACGCTGCTCATCGTTGACGAACTGCTCAATCTTGCGGTGGAACTTGGGGTTGGACTCGAGGCCTCGAGACTCAATCTTTGGCTGATCCTTGGTCAAGCCGAGAATGAATCGTTGAGCGTCCTGCAGACCCTTCTGGTATGCCTTGATCTCAGCCTGGGATGGCGCGCCTCGTGGGAGGTCATACTCGTCGTACGGAGTGTTGCCCTCATAAACAAGGACCAACTCGGGTGACTGCTCGGATTCGTCTGGGAAGACAATGTGCACACCGTGGTCTTGCCTAACCTTGGGTGCGTTGCGCTGTCGCAGGAAGTCGTGGTAGAAGGGATCAACATTCAAAGTGGAGAACCTGCTTGGTGGGTGCGATTGGAAAAGGCTCATAATATCAGTACGGGCCTTCATGCTGTTCTTTCCATCCTTGGCGTAGATCTCCCATCCGGTTGGCGCGTGACGGTCATTAGGCGCGACAATGCTAGCTTCGTGCTTACGTTCGAGCTCTTCAAGGGCCTTTCGTTGACGCAGGTAGCGGGTTAGGTTGTGGGCATGTGCCTGAGCGTTGGGACCCTTGTGCTCACGGGCAGCGTCTGCGGTCGCCATGGTCATGCTGGCAGCAAGATCCTCGAGCTTGTTGATACCTTGCTCGATCTTGTCTGGTGGGCCGACAATGTAGACAGTCTCGCTATCGTCCGAGTTAGGAGGCAGAACAATGCTACAGCCAGTCTCCTCCAAGAAGTCGTGGAGCGAGTGACCGCGGTCACCAACAATGAATTGATGCCTACCACGCTCAATGGATCGCTGCTCGGTAGCCAGCTGTTGGCGAAGCTGCTGAACGCGGCGCTCCAACTCAGCCTGAATCTGCTGGGCAGCTACGCGATCACCAGAAACCTGGATGGGGAAGTTGGCCTGGGGAACAAACTGAGCAGGTTGGCCACGTGGGGCCACAGGAGGGGCCTGTGACTGCCAAGTGTGGTATTGAGGAATCTGGATATTGACGTCGCGGCCTTGGACAAGCCTGTTGGCGTGGACATTGTTGGGGCCTGCGAGGAAAGGATAGAATTCGGCAGGAATGTCCTTAAGGCGCAGGTTGACGGTCGAGGTGCGTTCGTTGACAATGGCGTCAATCTCGCGACGAGCCATCTCCGCTGTCAAGGCATTGCCCTCAATGTGAACATTTACCACAGTATCCTCATCCTCACCCGGCTCGGCCTTGGGGACCTGAATGCGGGCACCGGTGCGCTTGCTGATTTCCTGGATCTTGGATCCTTGACGGCCGATGATGTGGGCACGGACGGAGGCGGGGACGGGGACATCGACGGATTGCTATAGATGATCAGTTTTTGTATGGGAGGTACTGTTGCTCGTGACCAATGGACTTACCTTGGAACCAACCTCATTGGCAACTTCCTTGAGCGCCTGCCTAACAGCCTCGACAGAACCGGTGGCTTCGAAGATGAGGGCACCGGGAGCCTGCTTGTACTCGAGGTTGGCCTTGGAGCGCCTGTTGATGTCGCGGACGATTTCGTTGATGGGCTTCTTGAGCTCGCCGCGGGGAGCAACCTGGTGAGATGCGAGAGTGATGCGTTCGGTGTGCTTGCCGGGGATGCTCATGGACGGAAGGGCGGGGCCACGGCCAGCGGGGGCGGAGGGGGCAGAGGCACCATTGCCATTGACGCCATTGGAAGTGATTGAGGTCGGCTTCTTGCCCCAAGTGGGCGCAACAGCCTGGGCTCGGGGCTTAACAGGACCAAGAGCCGGGAAGGCCTCCTCAGACGACGTGTTGAGGGCGGGCTTCTTCGGGGCAGCCGGAGCATCATCAGCCTTTTGCTTGCCAGCAGCCTTTTCACTCAGAGGAGCAGAGGCATCGGCAGCCGAAGAGGATGGATTGGCAGCGTCTTCTTCGTCGGGGACATCCTCAACGGTGACGTGATGGTCGGCATGCTCCTGCTGGAGCTTCTGCGCCGGGGTGAGCCCCTCGGTGGCAGAGCTGGCGACTGCTTCGGATGCCATTGTTCAGTGTAGACCGTTTCGAGTGGACCAAAGGGTATTCGCGTGGACGGTGGGTGGTGGGGATTAGGAGCGTGGAGCCAGCTTGGGTGGTTGCAGGCAGGGACAGAGTGGCCGGTTGGGGGTGGTGTGGTATGCGAAGGGCGAGGGGAGGGGAGGAAGGACAAAGACGGTGAGGTGAGTAAAAGGGCAAGGTGGTAGAAGGGCAAGGTTGCTACTGGGGTTTTTAGTGCGTTGGCTGTGCGTAGCAGCAATTGTAATAGGCTGCCGTCACTCAGCCAGGCAGAGGAATAGGTGCGCGGCCAGGGTCTCGGTAATTCACTTCAGGGCAGCGCAGCAGGCCACGACGTGTATTTGCACACGGACGGGAATGGGCAGAATTAAATACACAGACTAGACGGATGCCACTCGACTGCTCATTTGTCTACACGGGCGGGGCTCAATGGATGCAATTGCTGTCGTGTCTTCGCAGCACATGTGGCCGCCTGTCCAGAATGTCCTCGAACTTACCTGGACCCCTGCTTCCCGATTCCCCACCACTGCCAACCCCGGCAAGCCTCCCAGTAGCCTGCGCTAGTCCACAACCGCTAACCTCCGCATTCCCGTCTCTCTGCGCCATCGACGTCTCTCGCCACTCGGCCGCATGTAGGTTGACATGTGCTCAAAATGCTTCTCCTTCAGTCATAGCGACCTAACATCCCTCCCTGGGTCATGCAAGTCCCCCCGTGCCGCAAAGAATCCGCGATTTTAGTATCTTGGAACTCACGCAATAGCTAGTATTGCACCATGATAATAAAAAACGTATTCTTAAGGCTATTCTCTACAAACTCATAAAGGTAGTTAAAATATTACAGCGTATTTAGTCCTATCGTCGCTAATTCTGTAGTAGTGTTACAATCCAAGGCAAGTGTTAGATAGCGAGCCCTGTCCCACACTACGCTACTACAACCAAAAAGGTACGAATAATCAGCGTTCTGCCAATACTCTACACAGGATAGTATGTATATATATAGTTAGCACCTTCCAGTGCCTAACACGTACCCGTGTATTTGATCCTTAAACGAGTGATTAAGCTAATAGAAAGCCTTAGGTTCTAATTTATAATAGTTTTAGAACGTATAAGATACTAGAAATCCTAGAATTCTGCTTCGCAAACAATATTACTATATGCCGCCTACTATCTTATACCCTATATAAGCTATAGCCTTGCAATATTAGGGTCTTTAGCCCTCTTAAGATAACCTATCGTGACGAGGTAGAACGGCTCTGTTAAGGAGGACTAGTAGCTATTAGCAAGGAGCACTTTACTTCTGTGTATAAGCCTGCTAGGGAAACGGCGATAACGAGGATGAATATTACTACCGCATAGGCCGCAAGTAGATTGTTCCTATTTAACCTAGAGAGAGTTCTGCAAAAGACGCTAAAACCGCCCTCTAAGATAGCTGCTCTAGGCGTGCTTACTTATCTATATGACTAATAAGTAGCGCAAGCACCTATAACCCCTATAACCCTAGTAACGACGGAGGCTGTAATATCTTTATATCATTTAATTAAATAAGATACGTATGCAATGGACGAGCGGTGTCTGCAGAAGTACATGCAGAAGCTCGCGAGTGCAGCGCAGATATCCCTGGCAAAGCAGACGCTTCTTTAAGATCAAAACGAATTCTTAACGAAGGTGAATAAGGAGGCTTAAGTTTAGCGATCGACAAGGTCTATTGTCTTAGGGAAGGCGAAGGTGATAAGCTTTGAAGACCTTGAAGAGGCACGAGCCAAGCGTGCTGAGAAACAGGAGAAAGCGTCAGCTGCTAATGTTCCTAAGAAACGAGAGCGTAAGCCTAAGAGCTCTGCTGCAGTACAGTCGCTAGCGATTGCAGTTTCACCCCTACTCACAGCTGCAACATCCTTTACGCCAACCTGAAAACAGGGGTGTAACGGCGCAGGCAAGACTACTCGGATTAGTATCGGCAGTAGTGTCACTCAGAGGTATATGTGAGTGCGTGGGACAAAAATGGGCCTTGTACGAAAGGATATCAAAAATCTACTAAACAACTATGGAAGGTGGCTTTTACTTATGACTGCCGATACGGATCCGAATCGGATCTTGTTTAGATCTTGGCTATGGGAGGCTACTTGGTGAGCTGCGATGTCGAATCGTTACAATATACAACACGATATAAGATACTTTCTACCTTCGTCGTAACCACATTTTGGTTATCATACCCAATAGAGATTTGTCTAATTAGTATATACCCGTTGAGAGGTGTATTATAGTAGTTATACTAAACTATTTTTCAGGGTTTAATAGGGTCTCGCAGAGGTCTACCTAAATCCTTCTATTACGTACTTTAACTATAGTTAAAGTTAATTGTTTTGATACCTAATTCTGGTAGTTTGGGGTGCGGCCTGCTATTCTTTTCTAAGATAATTGATCTGATACGCTATATAGCAAACAGAGGGAAAAAA